CAAAAGTATTCTAACTGGAAAATATTTTATCTAAAAATGAAAATCGAGTTAACCCTTCAAATGCATGAATTTAAGTGTATTATTTTTAATCCTAATACATTTTTTTTAAATTCTGCATACTGCAATTTGTTTTGTTGTAATTGTTTTAAAATAATTTAAACATATTTCTGTGGTTGTTTTACTTTTTTCCAAGCCGCATGAATCGTTTTATGTTTCAACATCATAAAAATCGTGTTCCGAAACGTTCCATGAATATTACACGACCGTGAAGTCACATGACCCGATATTGGAGAAAATGATTCGTAACTGGGGAAGCTAGGCCTTGCTGAAATACCCCTGTAAATATTGTTCCCGTGTATCTACTTTAAAAACGAAAAGGTGTTTGGATGACTCACTATTTGTTCTTTCAATACATACGAGGGCCGTTCAAAAATTACGCGGACTTACTGCACAGAAAAAATATTTGACGACATAATCGGGCAAAATGTCGCACATAATATAAAAGAATCTTTACTTATATGACCTACAAAATTTCATTTCAAAATGTTGTAAATTGGTATCAATTTTGAGTGATTTTTCAGGACTTATCATTAAGTCACGGAGCAGCAAAATCTTCAACGTCACAGACATTATAAAAAAAAAAATAAATTATGTGATTGAGTTTTCATTTTCTCAACATTTTCCCAAGAGTACACAGGTACAGTTTGAGTAATATATCTACTCAACATCCAAACACCATTTCTTGTCAAGCTTTAAATCTATTAAACAAGTAAAAAATATTCTTTTTTTTTGTTTTAACCAAAAACTGCAGGTAATTTATCAGATATAGTGTGATATTGGTGACTCTCAATCACGTTCTTTACAGTCCGGATCAAGTTTACTTTGATAATCTTCTTCCCATCTACCCGTGTAGCCATTTTACAGAGGTCTAACGGTCTAAACTACCTATTTGCTAGTTGTGGACGAATGTCACGAATACCCTAGTTTACTTCATGTTTTATTATGCATATTTTGGATCTATATTTGAGATATCTCGAGCATTACACATAATTTAACCAAAGTGTGGTGCGCCGTCACTTCACGATACGTCATTTTCTCAGTCGTTTTCACGGGAATCACAACAGAGGAAAATCACTATATTTCTGTTACTACTTCAAATATCACGTCATAAATCCAAATACATAATAATAGGACAATTTAAAGATACATTTGAGAAAATTGTTGAAAAATATTGCGAATTATAGGAAATAAATGAGTTAAATTTTGGATTCCGCATGCTTTTGCTTCAAATTTTTTGTCGTGCTCCGTACCTCTCCATCAGCGATATCAACATATCGATAATTTTAGTAGAATTTTTTTAAAATACAGAAAATTTGTCCAAAATTTATTGAAATCTTTGAGATACATATTTCTGTGAAATTTCATAACTCTATGACGTCTGTAAGAGTAAATAATAGTACAGTCCGCGTAATTTTTGAACGGCCCTCGTATATTACATAAAATAAAAATTGAACAGATTTGCAAAATATCAACGAAACACCCTGACGTGACCCGGAATTGGCGACTTCACTGTATATGAATATAAAGAAAGACCAAATCTCTTTCGATTTCATGATGTGATCAATCGCCTTCGGCGTTTATGCATAAAATTATGATGCAAGCCAATCGATTGATCATCGTCATGAAATTGAAAAATCTGAGTTTTTCCTTATATTTACATGCTTTGATTCCGTCAATCCACGTGCTCCAAGCCCTACTTCTGTCTAGCTATTTGTCCCGCCCTGCACGTGATTTTTTTTAACCGCGCCTATTGATGAACCAATACACTGATGGGGAAATAAAGTACATTTACTATCTGTAACTTTATTTTGGACAAAGACATTGGAAATGTAAATATATTTTTGAAACGACTGTGAATAGAAATTATATACCAATTTAAGTGGTATTAAAATATATACTAAATTACTATAATTTAGCAGGATAAACTTTATATTGAAGTATTTGATTTTTATGTGACCAGGTCGATAGATCGGGGGCGTATATTGTTTTTGTCCTGTCTGTCTATCTGTTTGTCAGTCTGTTATCAACTTTAATCTTTCGCCATAACTTTTGAACCGTGAGAGCTAGAGACTTCATATTTAGTATGCATACTCCACTAAATAGTTTCTTACAAATGAAATCAAAGTCAATGACCTTGTAACTTTGACTGTGACCTATATGCTAAAAATGGCTTTTTCAAACTTTGTTGCCACCAGATGCCTTTGTTACAAACACATCTTGTTTTAAAAATAATCTTCATTACAAAAGTGCTTTCATTATTTCAGGATTTGGTCCTTTTGGGGAACATTCAGTCAATGCCAGCTGGGTGGCTGTACAGAATCTGAAGAGGAGAAACTTGTTACCTGATGTTAACGTCCATATTGAGGAAATCCCAGTAGATTATCAGGAGGTCAGCCAGATTGTACCAGAGCTGTGGAAACAGAAAGATCCCACGGTACTGTTTGTCTTATTTATGATATAAACAAAAACCTAGTCACTTATTAATCTCAGTCAGATGACCTTTTGTTTTATTTACTTAGTTCTATAATCATTTTGTACAAAAGTCTTCAGTTACATGTACATACAATTTAAGTTTAATGTAAATTCTAAGAAATGAATCAAAGGATGACACTTTTAAGATTTATTTTCAAAATGTAGATCGAGGTTCAGCTTTAAAAATAATTAACATAATAAGGTCTCGGTGTATAAATTTGATTCAGGCATTACTCATTATTTTACTGGCTATCAAGACGTTCTTTGGAAAAAAAAAACTTATAGGAAAATCAACGAATCTGAAGTAATTGTATTTTAAAATGTATTTAATAAATATCCCCCACATTTTTTCCAAAGATAGACATTGGACATTGCTGTGAAGGTTTAGCCCCCCCCCCTCCACACTTTCCAAAGACATGTTCCAGTATAAAATATTAGAATATTAGAATATTTATTCAACCAATTTGGGCCCACATGTTCAGAACAGTGTCCAAAATCATCACAGTTATACATATACAAAACAGGAAACAAACATTGTATAATGAACAGAGAGTTGTTATCTTCTTTTAGGATGTATAATGTAGAATTTATGTATAATATCTGCAATATAGGCTTAAAATCGGAAAGTGGTAGTGTTTGTAAAAAAACCCCCCCCCCCCCCACACACACACACAGACACACCTCTCACACACAAGAAAAAGGATTTTCATGTTTGGCCAATGCAATTTTATTTTTTGCTTAAAATCGGAAAGTGGTAGTACACTCCCACACACACCCACTCACACACACAAAATAGGATTTTCGTGTTTGGTCAATGCAATTTTTTTTTTTGGCTTGTCAGGTTTTTTGGAAGGGTTAATTTTTTTTTTTTTTTTACACCTAGCCCCTAGAATATCAATTTGTTTCTAACACCAATGACCTTTTATTTTTATACACACCAAGGTAGCTACAGCAACTTGATATTATTTACACTTTTGAATCCAAAGATATTACTTTCCAGCTGATGGTGCACGTCGGAGTCTCTGACTTTGTAAATAAAATCACACTGGAACAGAGAGCCTACAACACAGGCTACTATCTCAAAGATGTCAAAGGTCAAACTCCTTATAAGGAGTGCTGTAGGGAGGAGGGGGAGGAGTGTATCTGTACAGGGCTGGACATGAGTCGAGTCAGTGACGAGATCAACAACGCAGATAACCAGCTGAAAGCAGAGGTCTCTTATGCTGATACTGGGAGGTGACTAACGTCTTCAAATTCATTATTATGCCCCTGTATAAATTGAAGATTCGAGGCATATAGTTTTTGGTTTTCCGTCTGTTTGTCTGTGTGCCTATCTGTCTGTTACTAGTACTCTGTTTGTCTGCAAAAACTTTTTCCTTAACTTTTGAATGATTGATGTTAGTGTTTTTATATTTTACTTGTGTAGTTCATGAGGCCAGACCTGTCCTTGGTTTAAAGTCGGCATTCCTTTAATTCTGTAATTGTTATATTGACCTTGTTAGGTGATACATGTATATTCTATCATTGGGTCGTATTATGGGTGACTTATTTTTTTTTACCAATTGTTAAGCCTTTGTTTTATACTGAATTTGACTAGGGAATATCACGTCTACCTGATTAATACATAGGGAGAATGGCAGGTGTGAACTGACAACAAGGGATGCTTTCTCCTTTTAAGCACATGATCCCTCTTCTGGAAGTTCAAACAGTCTGTGTTTTATGCCCTCTTCATAGAATTTTAGTACTTTTTTTTTAACAGATTTTTAGTACTTTTTTTTTCGAACAGATTTTTGTACTTGGTGAGATAAAGCCATAAACCAAACTTAACACGTGACATAAGTGTTATTTACTCTACTTTTTTTTTATTTCGTGCATTGAGAAAGATTTTGAAAAAAGAAAACAGACTGAATGGGGATTTTTTTAATTTACGTTTTAGCTCTACTGGTCAGAGACCAGAAGAGCTTATGCGATAGTAATGCGTCCGGCGTCTGGCTGTCTGTCTGTAAACAAAAAATGCTACTCTTCCTACAGTTTTGGTCTGATTTCAATATAACTATAACTTGACGCACAAGTAGACTACACTAAGATACATAATTTTATATATCGGTTTATTTCGATGTTGCCATGGTTACTAAAAATAAAAATTTCTGTGAAATACTTTCAAAATGCTACTCCTCCTACAGTTTTGGTCTGATTTTTATATACTTGGCAAACAAGTAAATTACACAAAGATACATAATTCCATGTATTGGTTTTCGATTTGCAGTGGTTAATAAAAATAGAAATTTCTGTGAAATACTTTCAAAATACTACTCCTCCTACAGTTGTAGTTTGATTTCAGTATAACTTGGCACACAAGCTACATAATTCTGTTTATTATACCCCCCGCTTGAAAAGCGGGAGGGTATATAGTAATCAGGGCTAGGGCTTTCGTACTTCACAAATGTTATCCTTGTGACAAGACCTTTGGCTATAACTTTTGAACAGGTGATTCTAGGGCTTTCATATTTCACAAGTGTATTTCTTTGAGATGACCTTACTTTAGGTACCAACATATTTGATTTGCATTTGAGAAAGTTTAACCTTCTCTAAAGTTGCCATACAGGGGCATCAGTGTTTCACAATCACATCTTGTAACCTCGTAGTATTGACCTTAGAATATGACGTACTTTAAAAAAATAATCTTGGGTTGGTACTAGGGCCATTATATTTCAAATTTGTATTCCTTTTGACAAGACTTTCCTTAGCTATTAATATTCTTGAACTCTTGACTTTCGAGTTTGACTTATTTTTGAAAAACTTTGGCCTTGAGTTTCTGTACCTGGGTATCCTGTTTCACATGCTTACATGTTTTATTTTGGCCTGTTTATCTGTCTGTTGTCAACTTTAACCTTCACCGTAGCTTTTGAACCGTGAGAGATAGAGACTTCATATTTGGTATGCATACTCCATTAATTAAACTCTTTCAAATGACATCAAGGTCATTGACCTTGTGACCTTGACTGTGAGATATATGCTAAAAATAGTTTTTTTGAACTTTTGTTGTAACTTTTGAACCGTAGAAGATAGAGACTTCATATTTCGTATGCATACTCCACTAATTAAGCTCTTTTAAATGACACCAAGGTCAATAACCTTGTATCCTTGACTATGACCTTTATACTAAGAATAGCTTTTTCTTTGTTGCCGCCGGGCGCATAGTGTTTCACAAACACATCTTTTTAAATTCAGAATAAGAAAGCATATTTTGAAATAGAAGAATAGTATAATTTAATTTCTATATAAATGTATACCCTTAAAGTAGTCAAAGTGATTTTTGAAAATGTGTCTTTTAAAGTATATTTGAAAATTAACGCCGTTTTAATGGTTTTTAAATTATTCAGCATACATGTTTATAGATGTTTCGTTATGTTTAGGTTTTTCATTGTATATTTTAAGGTACCTGTGTGACTTTGTGTACTATATTTCTCTATCCATCAACAAGTCTCGCTCCGCCTTCATTCATGTCCCGCCCCTGAATCAACCATATACAGAAGATCAGTTAGGGGAAGGTGTGGCTAAGGCCATTTCTGCAATGCTGAAGTAACTCTTAAAGACGTGATACTCAACGGTATATGACTTAGAACGGACTAAGACTCTCTCTCTCTTTCTTTCTCTCTGACTTAACAATAAAATTGTTTTTATGTTATGCTTAATGACTTATTTACATTGTTTTCGATGTATGACGAGATACTCAAATTTTTTTTCATCACAAAGTATGAAATATGTTTTATACATAACAACTCAACAATTCTTCATCCAAGAATGAACACGTCGTTTTCCCTCAAAGGACAAAAATTTGACCCCCACGAAAATGTATGATTTTTCAGTAGGTGCTTGGAATTCACAAATAAACAATGGGATATTTTCTGATTCTAGGAATACATGTACTCAATATGAACATTCTGGTTGCATTTAATGCACATGTAGAGTGCCTTTTCAAGGAATAGTCCTGAACAATCATATGCATATTCAGAGATATTTAAATTGCAGCAGTTGTAATTTAACTTAAACACTCAGCCTGTCAGTAAACAATGTTATAAATACCACTCTTTCTTCAGTTTTGGTTTGGATTTCAATAAAAACTACATACAATAGTAAGTCGCCCGCGTGGCATAGTGGTTACAGTGTCTGATTTAGAGTTGCAGAGTAAAGAGCTGATCCTTATGGCACGGGTTCAAATCTACTGCGAGACACGAAGACCTGTTGTATAGAGAGGGTATTTAGTTTAAGAAGTATTTTATTCATAATATACAAAGTGTACAATATGAATATGGATTGAACAGCAGGCCAATGGCCTATATTAGTTCTCTCCATTAAGATTACCCTCCATAGAGAGGGTATTTAAAGGCATTAAGCCTGTTGCCTAATCTATTCAGTATGCTGAATAAATATTAATTGTTTAAATCAAGGAAGCTTGAAAGTTTGTATATATCATTTTCTGTCATCCTCCAGAATTCAGAATTACACATTAAGAGAGATAATACATTAAAAAATAATACGGGTGTCAATTTCAACCGTTACCCTTAAAAACATGCACTATTTATATAATAAGCCATGACTAATTCCAATGCTTTTTCAAAACCAACAAGAGTGCGAGATACATGTAATATGGGTGGTAAACTTACCTGAAGCTTTTTCAACTTCTCTTGCCCAAATTCTTTCTGTTTTTGTTTCTGTTTTCTTTGTTTTTCTTTTTGAGACCAAATGTCTGCATGAAAGTTGTGATGAGCTTATAGTGAAGCCTGTATGGATAAACACGCTGGTGTCTAACACACAAGTAATCTAAAGTTGTTATCAAAAAGATGCTCGAGTTTCTGATTGACAATATCTCTGTTACTTTGGAGTCTTTGTTTTGTCAACTTGTTGGTTAATAGCTTGCCTTGTTTAAGAAACTGTTCGTATGTTGAGCATGCTCGTGTGTATTGATTCAACATTTGAATGTTTCTCAATACTAAATGAGCTTGAATACTGTTCTCTGAACCATATTTTTGACAGTGGTATTCATCGACATGTAAGTCCCCAAGTCAAGCGACTTTATAAAATCTTTCTCATAGGATCAAATTGTTTTATCACATAAGTTACAATTATCACTGTAAAGCTTTATGAGTTCGTTGTTGTTTTACTGTCTTTTCAAAACATTTTAAGAATATAATTGAAGTATTTTATCCTTAATCTTTTATTTAATTTTTTTTTAAATTAACGAAAAAGTACAAAAACAAATATCTTGATTCTAATCCAATTCTCTCCTCCCCACCTTCATTTCAATTGAAAGCTAATGATCACAGCATCCTTATGCATGAAGATGCATTGTCATTATTTGGTCTATGAACCAGGGGCCAGTTTTACAAAAGAACTTACGACTAAGACCAAAAACTTCAGTTGATAGAAAAGTTTTGCAAAATTGATCATTCTGTTTAAAATTACTAGTGTAAAAATATCTTACGACATTCCATTTGAAATGATTAAAATCAATTTCAATAGGCCTATACGTTATTAGAAGTTACATATAATGAATTAAATTTTGTTCCTAAGTCGTAAGTTTTTTTTAGTAAAACGGTCCCTGTAACATTGATACGGGGACGTAGAATATTTTGGTTTGATCAACTCAGTATTTAAAAAGATTTTTTTTTTTAAAAAAAAGAGATTTCTTAAAAATAGCTTTCATTTAATCATTTTCACCAACTAAGTAATGTATGATGACAGAGCAGTCTGTAATGATTACTATTACAAGGTGTATTAGGAACATTTTTTTTTTACAGAATTGGCAATATAGAACAGTATATATATAGTCCTCAGACCAATTCTCAGACAGTCCTTAGTCCTCAATTGTATATATGTACATGTATTTCATTCCAAAATTTGTGTTAACTTTATTTACAAAAGCAAGTTAGGTTAAAAAAATTGAGTTGTATAATTATGTTGGCGTGATGAAGAGCCCTCATTGTTCAAGGTCATAAGAGCAGAGTGTGTGACGTCCACTGTAACTGGTGACATCCAAACATCAGTTCACAACGGTGATTTAAGGAGGCTCATTACATCCACAGTTTATTTTAAGCATCACTTATAATGTAGATGTCAAATATCCAAATGGAGGTTATGATATCATATTTTTTTTGTGAATTTTTAAACTTTTTTCCTGATTTTAGTAAAATATTTTACTCCATTGAACAGTGAGAGATCTTTTGCATGCCAGTACCTATATTGACACGGGACCTTGGTTTATACGGTCTCATCCAAAGGACCGGTCTCCAAGTCCCACAGTGGGATTCGAACCGTCAATATTAGGATCAACTCCTTACTTAGCGTTTGTAGAGCAGACGCTCTAACCACTGTTCCACGTGGGCGACTACATAATTTAAAAAGAATAAATCTGAATTTTGACCTCTGTTTAAACATATAAATTAACTTCATCTGCACAATTAAAGTACAAAGAATGACATTAAATAAAAAGATTTATTTTCTCTTTAAGGACAATTTAGAAAATATCTTATTCAACAATTTTCGTTCTTTTTTTCAGCAGACATCTTTTCCAACAGCCTACAATAAATAAAAAGAAATAGTTGAGACAACCTTTAATTTTCATCTTAATCATAGAAATTTTAATTCATATTTTCCATAAAATCATTTTGTATATAGATATCTATAATGGTTTAAATGTTACATTTGTTCTGAGGTGAGGAAAAGTTAACAATATATCATCATGATTTTATATTTAGCTTAATATCATTTAAATTCTAAGGACTAACTACAGATTAAGCTAATACATGTGCATGTATGAAAAAAATATATGCAACGTGGGCTAGGAACTGTTTCTATACTAATAAGAAAACATATGAAAAAAAGTTTTTAAGGTAATTGAACTATACCTTGAAATAATCTATATGGAAAAAGAAAAGTGTCCTTGGACCAAACCAACCATCATCATCATCATCATCATCATCATCATCCTCAATCAAAGGCTGAAAATATACAGTAAAGAGAAATTATACAGTAGCCATATTCTTATTGATCAAAAGACATTAATTGAATGTGAATTTTTAAACACTTAATATTAAAAGTCTATTTCAGTTTTTAAATTAAATGTACCTTTAACGTTTTCTCCTGATCTTTAGAGACTTCTTGCTTTTGGTTGACTGGTACAAGAACTGCTTCATCACACACATAGAGTCTTTCTCCTGACAAATTTACATTACATGCTGGTGATATCAATGCTGACAAATCTTCATCACAATCTGTTGATGGTTTTGCTGAAAAATCTTCATCATATGCAGGTGACAATTCTAACAATTTTTCATCATGTGCAGCTGCCTTCTGTGCAAATAATTCTTCAATATATGCAGTTTCTTTCTCTCTCTCCTCTTTACTCGGTAGTGACATCTCTGACAATTGTTCATCATATATATTAGCACTTTCTTTGAAAAATTGATCATCACAAGGAGTTGACTTCATCACCCCTGACATTTTATCACGTGCCGTTGACTTGAATTTTGACAAATATTCATCACTTACTGGTGTCTTTTCCAATGACTCATTAACAGACACTGGTGACTTTGTCTCTAATATCTCCTCATGTGGCATTGTTTTGCCTCCTGAATTTTCTTCACACGCGGTTGTTTTCTCTTCTGACATCTTTTCATGAGCAGTTTCCTTCTCTTTTGACATCTCATCATGAGCAGTTTTCTTCTCTTCTGACATCTCTTCATGAGCAGTTTTCTTCTCTTCTGTCATCTCTACATGAGCAGTTTTCTTCTCTTCTAATATCTCATCATGAGCAGATTTCTTCTCTTCTGACATCTCTTCATGAGCAGTTTTGTTGTCTTCTGACATCTCTTTATGAGCAGTTTTCTTGTCTTCTGACATCTCTTTATGAGCAGTTTCCTTCTCTTCTGACATCTCTACATGAGCAGTATCCTTCTCTTCTGACATCTCTACATGAGCAGTTTTCTTCTCTTCTGACATCTCTTCATGAGCAGTTTTCTTCTCTTCTGACATCTCTTCATGAGCAGTTTTCTTCTCTTCTGTCATCTCTACATGAGCAGTTTCCTTCTCTTCTAACATCTCATCATGAGCAGATTTCTTCTCTTCTGACATCTCTTCATGAGCAGTTTTCTTCTCTTCTGACATCTCTTCATGAGCAGTTTTCTTCTCTTCTGACATCTCTACATGAGCAGTTTCCTTCTCTTCTGACATCTCTACATGAGCAGATTTGTTCTCTTCTAACATCTGATCATAAGCAGATTTGTTCTCCACTGTCATCTCTTCATGAGCAGTTTTCTTCTCTTCTGACATCTCTTCATGAGCAGTTTTCTTCTCTTCTGACATCTCTTCATGAGCAGTTTTCTTGTCTTCTGACATCTCTTCCTGAGCAGTTTCCTTCTCTTCTGACATCTCTACATGAGCAGTTTTCTTCTCTTCTGACATCTCTTCATGAGCAGTTTTCTTCTCTTCTGACATCTCTACATGAGCAGTTTCCTTCTCTTCTGACATCTCATCATGAGCAGTTTTCTTCTCTTCTGACATCTCATCATGAGCAGTTTTCTTGTCTTCTGACATCTCTTCCTGAGCAGTTTTCTTCTCTTCTGACATCTCTACATGAGCATTCTTCTCTTCTGACATCTCTTCATGAGCCTTCTCTTCTGACATTTCTACATGAGCAGTTTCCTTCTCTTCTGACATCTCTACATGAGCAGTTTTCTTCTCTTCTGACATCTCTACATGAGCAATTTCCTTCTCTTCTGACATCTCTACATGAGCAGTTTTCTTCTCTTCTGACATCTCTACATGAGCAGTTTCCTTCTCTTCTGACATCTCTACATGAGCAGTTTTCTTCTCTTCTGACATCTCTACATGAGCAGTATCCTTCTCTTCTGACATCTCTACATGAGTAGTTTCCTTCTCTTCTGGCATCTCTACTTGAGCAGTTTTCTTCTCTTCTGACATCTCTTCATGTGGTGTTATTTTCTCTTCTGACATCTTTTTACGAGCAATTTTCTTTTCTCCTGACATTTCTTCATTATTTGCTGGTGATATCTTCTCTGACAAAACTTTGTCATATAAAGTTGTTTTTTCTTCAAAAAATTCTTTATCACATGGAGTTGAATTCTGTCCAGTCATTTCACAACAATTAGTTGGTTTCTTTTCTGACATTTCTTCATTACATGCTGGTGACTTTTTTCTAGACACATCCTCATCACATATAGTAAAATTTTCTGCTGACATATCTTCAGTTTTCTTCTCCCCAAGGATGTTGGTTTCACACACAGTTACTTGTTTGGAGGTTTCTGCAATTGGGGTTAATTTATCTCCAGATGCTTTTCTGTTCTCTCTTTCAATCATTTGTTTGGTGGACTCAGCAATCTAAAGAAAAGTGAACAACCATAATAACCTCTATAAAATGTAAATTTTGTAAGGATCACAATAATGTTAAGCTTTTTCATATTTTCCATTTTTTAAAATTAATTAACACACATTTATTTTAAATTACATTATTAGAATGAAACTTAAATGAAAATTAAGAAACTTTTAACTGAAGCAAACAAAACTTATATTCAATTATAATTATAATTAACTGAAAGATTGATATTTTACCTCCAGTCTCAGTTTCTGTTGTTTTATGATATGGACCTTTGCATGCTTCCTTGCCTTGTGTTGTTTTCTGTTTATTTTTTCTGGTTGTTTTCTGTAATTTATATGATATATTTTTTGAATTGTGTTATTACAACCAGATATTGTTACATAAACCTTTTAAGATGTGTTTGGGACAGTTATTCTACCATACCTGTTGTGATTTTTGTAGCTATTTCTCTTCTCCTCCCCTCCAATTTCTTTTTCTAAGTTCTTCATCCCATTCTGCTGCTTTTGTCCTTCCTATTAAAATATGTGAGTGAAATATTGTCTTGCATCAGTTTGAAGAGTATTACATCTCTTTTTTGGGTGGAAAATCTTTCAAAATGTAGTTATAAATGAAAACTATACTGTAGCTTTTCCAAAAAATATTAAATAAATTTTTTTAACAAAATGATGGGAGTTCTTTTTTTATTTACTGACATGCAAGTAAATTAGATTCATCATAAACAGTTGATCTTCAGTATCTTCAACAGCGAAATGTTAAATACCAGGCCATCCTTAAAAAATTTATTTTTTGCGGTCTACAACCAGTTTCTTTCATTTTAGGTGTGAATATTTAGGTAGGTGTTATTTTTTTTGACATCTTTTTACGAGCAATTTTTTTTTTGACATTTTTGAGACTGGTGAATCTTCTCTGAATATAAATTTATATATATATATATATTATATATATATATATATAATATTATCATATATATATATATATCATAATATAAATATATATAATTAAAGACATTATATAATGAATTCAATTTTTTTATTGCTCAATATAGTAAAACACATCAGTTTTCTCCCCAAGGATGTTGGTTTCACACACAACTTTTTCTAAGTTAATTTATCTCTCAGATGCCACTCTCTCTTTCAATCATTTGTTTGGTGGACTCAGCAACTAAAGAAAAGTGAACAACCATAATGTTTCTATAAAATGTAAATTTTTAAGGTCATAATAATGTTAAGCTTTTTGATATTTTCCATTTTTTAAAATTAATTTACACACATTTATTTTAAATTCATTATTGTGGAATTTTGTTGCCACCAATTTTAACTGAAGCAAACAAAACTTAAACAATATAATTATAATTAACTGAAAGATTGATATTTTACCTCCAGTCTCAGTTTCGTTGTTTTAATACCTTTGCATGCTTTTTGCCTTGTGTTTTTTCTAGTAATTTTTCTGATTTTTTTAAAATTTATATGATATATTTTTTGAATTGTGAACTATTACAGATATTGTTACATAAACCTTTTAAGATGTCAATATTTCTACCATACCTGTTGTGATTTTTGTAGCTATCCCCTAAATTTCTTTTCACAAAACGTTTTAATTATATGCTTTTGTCCTTCCTATTAAAATATGGGGGAAGTGAAAATTGTCGTTGTAGTTTGAAGAGTAAAAAAAATCTCTTTTCAATGGGATAAAAATCGGAAAATGGAGTTATAAATGAAAACTAACTGTAGCTTTTCCAAAAAATATTAAATAAATTTTTTTAACAAAACGATGGGAGTTCTTTTTTTATTTACTGACATGCAAGTAAATTAGATTCATCATAAACAGTTGATCTTCAGTATCTTCAACAGCGAAATGTTAAATACCATGGATATGTTGAAGTGCATGATTTTGAAGTCCCAACCACTTATTCTTGAAGCATTTTACCCCCAATATATTGAATCCTTGGATATCTCGATGTTTTTTCTCGGTCCCTTCGAGTTAGAGATACCGAAGTTTGACTGTATATATATATTTAAGTAATTTATACCTGTACCTCCATACGTCTTTCCTCCTCTTCAACTGCATCTGACCAGTTGTAGCTGAATTTTAAGATCTTAAGTTTTGTATCCTGGAAAAAATACACATTTATAGTGAAACAGAATCATAGATGCAGAGAGCATTCAGAAAAGGGGGGTTATCAGAATCAAATCAAGACCAAATCAAGCTTTTAGTTAGGAAACACACATGAACAAGGTTAGTTCCCATCTTTGAAAATGGTAAATGAAAAATTATTCTGCTAGTGTACACTATATACATAATACATAGACATGGCTAATATAGTAACATTGTACCATTTAATGGTTTAGATTAGGGTGTCTTGGTGCCTGTTAAGCATCTACATCTATAAATGGATCTGAGCTTACCACATCTGTGACAGGGTTCTCTCCAAAGTCTAGAACTTCATTGTAGTCCATGGTAGTTATTCTACAAAAAAGATATAACATCAGAATTACTAGATGTTGTCATATAACAAGTAATCTAAATGGTCTGACTAAACATAATTGCATGACTTGTAAGTTGTTTTGTACCTTAAACTACATGTAACTTCTATCTTATTTTTGTTATAGTAATGAATCTTTCCTCATGCTAATTGGTGCATTTTGGTAATCATAACATCACAGGTAGACACATCACACACATGCATTCTCTAAGCTAACTATCTGATTCTAGTTAAATTGGAACGGGGAGGGGGGCATACAATCCCTAGCAGCCATGCAATATCAAAGTGAATGAAAGAAGTATAAATAATAAAAAAGTGGGGGGATGGGCATTCTCAACAAAATCAAAGATTTTACATTTTTGTAAATTGAAAATCCCGAAGACTTAAAGAATATAACCCTTATTCCTCCCTGTTGTGACCCCAAAGCTGCAAAGTCAGCAGATAATACAGAAATTATGAACATATTGCATCTCTACAAAAAATAGAAGCAATTTTATCAATTTATCACCATCAGTGTTTGTACAGTACCTTTTGTGATTTGTGTTGCAATCTTTCTTCTCCTCCCCTGCAATTTCCTTTTCCAGCTTTTTCTCCGTTTCTTTTTGCTGCTTTTGTTCCTCCTGTTATATAAATGTACATTTGATAAGCAATAAACATCAGCATGAATTAGTACATAGTGAATATCAACTGTATTTTTTTATTTTACCAAAGATTAGAAAATCTATTAAAATGTGGTAAATTGATAATTATCCTGTAACTTAGTGGTAAAACAAATACTAGTCTGGAGTATACTTGTATATTATAGCATTACTTATTTTAACATAAAAAAAATCTTTCAAAATTACCATATAATTGATAACTACTGTGAAATCACTAACTTCCGGGGGGGGGGGGGTAATTTTCGTGGTTTTCAGGGTATGAAGAGACCCACGAATTGCAAATTTTCACATAAATTACTACTGAACAATTATTCATCCACAAAATCAAATCCCAATGAATCAATATATTTCCCTCAAACCACGAAATTTTGACCCCTGGAAAATATGTGATTTTACAGTACACTGTAGATTTGCCAAAAAATGTTACTTAAAAAAAAATAACATTGTATATCATAAAACTTCTGTTTTTATAGTATGGTTTTCATTTGCTGTAATGCAAGTAAAAAAGGTTCAGTAATTTATATCTGTACCTCTATACGTCTTTCCTCCTCTTCAACTGCGTCTGACCAGTTGTAGCTGAATTTTAATATCTCAAGCTTGGTGTTCTGAAAAAACAACAACACATTGATAGTGAAACAGCACTGGCGGATTTAAGGGGGGGGGGGGCTTGGGGGCGCACGCCCCCCCCCCCTAAAATTTTCAAAGTATGATGTGACTAATATTTATAAAGCCACATTTTGGTACAAAACTAACCAAATAAGTGTTATTCTGCCTGGTTTTATTCTTAAAATACACAAAAATCCAGGAGCTTCCAGGGGCTGCGCCCCCACTATTCAAAGTATGACATGACTAGTATTAAACACATCGTACTTTGGTACATCACTAACCAATACCACTATTAGTAAGTAATAAGTAAGTAAATCGTTTATTATATAGTGGCATGTGTTACAATACAATGAGAATTGAGAAACATTCAATACATTTTAATTTAAACATCCGGACCTATATGCTATTTACTTTTACCAAAAATAATTGAAAAATATGCACTATTATTGTGCCTGGTTTTACTCTAAAATACACGAAAACCTAGGAGCTTCCGGGGGCTTCGCCCCCTGGGCCCCCACCTATATGCTATATACTTTTAACAAAAATAAATTGAAAAATATGCACTGGTTAATATGTGCCTGGTTTTACTCTAAAATACACGAAAACCCAGAAGCTTCCGGGGGCTTCGCCCCCTGGGCCACCACCTATATGCTATAAACTTTTAACAAAAATAATTGAAAAATATGCACTATTATTGTGCCTGATTTTACTCTAAAATACACGAAAACCCAGGAGCTTCCGGGGGCTTCGCCCCCTGGGCCCCCACCAGGGCTTCGCCCTGGACCCACTGGGGACCTTAAGGCGGCCCCCAGACCTCTTGCCTCAACAGTTATCCACGCCCCCCCCCCTAACCACAAATCCTGTATCCGCCCCTGAACAGAGTCATGGATGCACAGAGCATTTCACAAAAGTGGGCTGTCAGACTAGCACCAAGACTAGAAATTCAAGCCTTTTGATAAAATGGTAAATAAACATTCTACTTCGCTATATACTTGTACATATGCATAGCTTATATAATAGATTTAAATAAATTGGTATCCAGTGATTTAGATAAGTATGTGTGGTTGTTCAGCATCTTCTTCCACATGAAACTAAGCTTACCACATCTGTGACAGGGTTCTCCCCGAAATCTAGAATTTCATTGTAGTCCATGGTATTCATTCTACAAAAAAGGAAATAATGTCAGAATTACTAGAAATATTGAATACTCTCCTATCACAAATAATCTAAACTAAACATATCTTCATGACTTTACCTCTGTGTTTTGTATCCTCTTTCTGATTTTTTTTGTTTTGTTATAGTGATGATTATTACGTCATGCTAATTGTTGCGTTTTAGTGACTATGACGTCACTTGTGGATATACTCGCAATCATTTTAAAAATACCCCCCCCCCCTCCATTTTTTTTTTTCGTATATTAAAAATTCCCGAAAAGTTGAAGAATACGACCCTTATTCCTCTCCTGTTGTGACACCCAAGCTGCAAAGTCAGCATATATAATACTGAAATGATGAAAATGTATTGTTGCATCTCTACAAAAAAAAATAGCAAATTGAGCCCGCTGGGTCAGTTATTTTATGATACCTTTTGCGGTTCTTGTTGCAATCTTTCTTCTCTTCCCCTGAAATTTCTTTTTCCATCTTCTTTTTCATTTCTTTCTGCTGCTTTTGTTCTTCCTATTATATAAAATGTATATTTGAATAGCAATAAATCACGAATCAGTCCGTAGTGAATGTCAGCTGATATAATTTTTTCAAAGAAAAATCAACTAAGAATCGAAAATTCCGAATGTTGTTAAATTATATTTTTTCTGTAGTTTTGTTAAAAAAAATTGCTATTTTAAAAAAAATATATATTAAAAATATGCATTTTAAATCTGTTTCTCAAAAAATATATTTTTAAAGACATACAAATAAGCTTAAGTTCAAGTATAAATCGGTATTTTATATCTGTACCTCCATACGTCTTTCCTCCTCTTCAACTGCATCTGACCAGTTGTAGCTGAATTTTAATATCTCAAGTTTTGTGTCCTGAAAAAAAGCATTGAAGTAATAAATTAATGCAAAAAATATTGACATTTCAAAGAATGTGTTTGGTAGATTTTTTGACAAAATTTTGCATTTTCATTGGAAATAAAATGATACGGACATAAATGTTATTACAAATTGTATATAGAAACATCTGCTACTAGTATGATAGATTTATTATTATTTGACGATTAAGGTGATGGTGCCTATGGAGCATCTTTACATGAAACTGAACTTACCACGTCTGTGACAGGGCCATCCCCGAAATCTAGAACTTCGTTATAGTCCATAGTTTTCATTCTTGAAAAGTAAAAGACATTGTGCCAAAATTGTTACACTTTAGAAATGTATTTAACTCAGAATCAGTCTGTGTTATCAAAAGAAATGAAATGGGCTGAGTATAAAAATTTACCTCCTTGTTTTGCAAGACCTTTCCAATTGTTGTTGTAGTGATAATTATGACGTCACACCTATTGTTGCGTTTTAGTAATTATGACGTCACGGGTAGATGTACATGTAGGGGTGGCAAACCTTCTGCAATTTTAATTTAATTTATAAATTCAAATTGAAGGGAAAAAAAATAAAATGAGAAAAAGTGGAGGAACATCCTTTTCAAAAAATCTCCGAAAGTCAAGATAAGTTGAGAGATAAGATAATATTTAAATAGATATTATCTTATCTTATCTCTCAAAGAACGCGAACTTATTTCTCCCATGCTGTGATATAAAAATAACGAACGTGCATTTTAAAAAAAAATTAATTACATTTCTTTTGTAATAAAGTCTGCTGTGATTGGGTACTGTTTTCATTTTGTAAGTTTTAAGTGATCCCAGCCTACATTTGCACCTCGTCCGACTCTCACATCTTGCAGGGATCTTTTCCATTATCCTCCATGTATTATCCATGCGTTCATTCGGGAGTCCTATAATCAAGGTACTTCCACTGTAAAAACTGCGTTTAGAAAATAAACACTTCTATTACGTGTTTAGACCTAAACATGTTTAAGATTGTGTTTAACGGCTAAACACTTA